CGGTCCAGTGTCCCCGAGGCTGCACGTAATATAAAGATTGAGCAGCCTCGTCCGTCTATGAGCTCCGCACACAGATTCCAGCAGAAACAGAGCGTCGCTGCTCGGGCTCCTCCACAATCAGGGGTTCCCGAGTGGCGTTCGCAGTCCAGGCCTGTTGGGGGTAGACAGGATCTGAGGACTGTCATCTCCAAGAGAGCCTGGACTAAGAAGAAGTCCTGACGCCGAGTGTGCCAGGCTTCTGAGGGTGGTCCCCTCCAAGGAGGAACGATTCCGAGGAACCGTTTCTCTTTGGCGCCCTCCGGGGGGCGATTCTCCGAGGAGAGTCGCAGCGTTGCCACATCGGTTGTTCCCTGCCGGTTCGCCGTTTCAGGGCACCGAGGTGTCAGCGTCCCCGTGCAATCCTCTGAGGAGGGTTGTAGAACGGTCAGTTCGGTTGTTCCCTGCCGGTTCGCTGCTTCAGGGCGCCGAAATGATTGTTCAATCAAATCCAGAGGCCAGTCTCGAGAGACTGGTTCCCTTATCAGAATTTCTGGCAGCGTGGAAACTTCTGCCAAATATTTCTTTATGGGTCCTGCACATAATAGAAAAGGGTTACAGAATTCAGTTCGGTTCTTGTCCGCCCAGATTTCAAGGGGTCCTTCCCACAGTGGTGGACTCACAGCAGGCTCTGGTTATGGAGCAGGAAGTTCTGACACTTCTTCAAAAAGGAGCGATAGAGAGGGTGCCTCCTCCCAACAGAGAGTCAGGGTTTTACAGCCGTTACTTCATTGTTCCGAAAAAGGATGGAGGGTTGCGTCCTATTCTAGATCTGCGCCAGTTAAACAGCAGAGTTCAGAAACTCAAGTTCAGGATGCTCACACTCAAGCAAATTGTTTCACAGATTCAGTCCGAGGACTGGTTTGTCACAATAGACCTGAAAGACGCTTACTTCCATGTATCTATCCATCCTCATCACAGGAAGTTCCTGAGGTTCGCTTTCGGGGGCGAAGCTTACCAGTATCGGGTTCTGCCGTTTGGCCTAGGTTTATCACCCCGCACCTTTACAAAATGCGTGGATGCAGCTCTGGCTCCCTTGAGACTCCAGGGCATTTGCGTATTAAATTATATCGACGATTGGTTGATTTTAGCTCAGTCAGAGCAGTTGGCGGTTCGGCATCGAGATGTCGTTCTGTCTCACATAAAGGAGTTGGGGTTGCGGCTCAACACCAAGAAGAGTGTTCTCCTCCCTACTCAGAGGACCACTTTTTTAGGTGTAATTTGGGATTCGACCACAATGCAGGCACGTCTATCTCCTGCTCGGATCTCTGCGATTCTCACAGCCGTAAAAAAATGTAAAACTAGGCCAGTCACTCACTGTGAAACAGTTTCAGAGACTGTTGGGGCTCATGGCAGCAGCGTCCAACGTGATTACTTTTGGCCTGCTGTACATGAGACCCCTGCAGTGGTGGCTCAGAACCAAGGGGTTTTCTCCGAGGGGAAATCCGTTCCGCAAGATCAAGGTCACGCGGCTATGCCTTCGTGCTTTGGTCATGTGGAAGAAACCTTGGTTCCTCGCCCAGGGCCCAGTGCTGGGAGCTTCTTGTCGACGCGTCACGCTTTCGACGGATGCTTCCCTCACAGGATGGGGGGCGGTCATGAGTGGCCGCTCGGCGCAAGGTCTTTGGCAGGACCATCAACTGTCATGGCACATAAATCGTTTGGAGATGATGGCGGTATTTCGAGCTCTCAAATATTTCCTGCCAGACCTGAGAGGCCATCATGTGTTGGTTCGTACGGACAACACGTCAGTGGTTTCATATATCAACCATCAGGGGGGTCTGAGGTCACGTCACCTTTGCAAGCAGGCCCATCAGATCCTCCTATGGGCCCAGGGGAAGTTGCTATCTCTCAGAGCAGTTTACATTCCGGGGCGTCAGAATGTGGGAGCAGATATACTGTCAAGGCAGGGGCTGAGGCCCGGGGAGTGGAGACTTCACCCCGAGGTGGTGGAGCTCCTGTGGGAGAAATTTGGTCGTGCTCAGATAGACCTTTTCGCATCCTCAGATACAACCCATTGTCCCATGTGGTTCTCTCTCACGCACCCAGCTCCTCTCGGACTGGATGCGATGGTGCAGGTGTGGCCGAGGCTGCACCTGTATGCATTTCCCCCGATATCATTGCTCCCGGGGGTTCTGGAGAGGGTTCGCCGGGAAGGGGCCCGTCTGCTACTAATAGCCCCTTACTGGCCGACTCGAGTTTGGTTCTCGGACTTGGTGTCTCTTCTGAACGGCTCTCCCATGGAGATTCCAATCAGGAGGGACCTGCTGTCCCAGGTAGAGGGCACGATTTTTCACCCTCGGCCGGAGTTGTGGAAACTGTGGGCCTGGCCTCTGAGGGGGCCAGGCTCATAGAATCCGGTCTCTCGACTGAGGTCGTTGAGACCATTCTCCATTCCAGAGCCCCTTCCACGAGAAGACTGTATGCGCTGAAATGGAAATTATTCTCCACCTGGTCTGGTGAGCGTCAGTTAGATCCTGTTAACTGCCCTGTTGGTTCAGTTCTCGATTTTCTGCAAGACCGTTTCTCTGCTGGATTATCTCCTTCCACCTTAAAAGTTTATGTGGCGGCTATATCGGCCTATCATACCCCTCTGGGGGGTACTTCTATTGGGAGAGATCCTCTGATTATTCGTTTTCTCCGTGGTACATTGAGGTTGAGACCTGCACTGCACTCTAGAGCACCGGCTTGGGATTTAGCCATTGTACTTGAGGGTCTGGCTCTGGCTCCCTTCGAGCCTATTGAAGAGGTTTCAGAAAAATTCCTCACTTTGAAAGCTTTGTTTCTCCTTGCTATTTCATCTATCAAGAGAATTAGAGATTTGCATGCCCTGTCGGTTGCTCCTTCATGCCTGGAATTTGCACCTGGTATGGTGAAAGCATTTCTATACTCTAGACCGGGTTATATGCCTAAGGTCCCAGTTAATGTTGGGGGCCCAATAGTGTTGCAGGCCTTTTATCCTCCACCTTTTAATACCCCAGATCAGGAACAACTGAACCTGTTATGTCCAGTTCGGGCATTGGATGCCTACGTTCACAGAGCTGCCCTGTGGCGTAAGTCAGAGCAATTATTTGGATGTTTTGGGTCACTCAGAAGAGGGTGCCCTGCATCGAAACAGGTTATGAGCAAATGGATAGTCGAGGCTATATCATTGGCTTATGAAGCGGCCGGTCAGCCTTCACCTATGGCTGTACGGGCCCATTCTACAAGGAGTATGGCGGCCTCTACGGCCTTAATTTCGGGTGTTTCCCTTCTTGACATTTGTAATGCGGCAGGATGGTCCTCTCCGCATACATTTGTCAGGTTTTATGACCTTGACCTCTCCACTCCTGGGGCGAGGTTGCTTGCTTCTTAGTGTGCGCCAAGGACTTCACACAGAACGGGCATTTGTCACTATGGCGTAGTGGGTATGGGGTTCCCACCGCATCTCAAACGCAGCTCGAAGTTCCCTTGAAAGGGAACGTCTCAGGTTACGTATGTAACCCTGGTTCCCTGAGAGGGAACGAGACATACCCTGATCGACTTACTTCAGACTTTTCAGAAGCTGTCGCAGTCTGTTTTCAAGGGTGCTTTATAGTTTCCTGGTCTATGACGTCACCTATGACGTATCGGGCTTCCATTGGACTGATTTTACACGTGCTTCATGACGCAATCACGCAGAGCGTTCCCACCGCGTCTCAAACGCAGCGTCTCGTTCCCTCTCAGGGAACCAGGGTTACATACGTAACCTGAGACGTTTTTTTAATTTCTTGATGGTAAATTATCAATAATGGACTCATGTTAAAACACTATACATTAAATTACAGTTAAAAGTGAAATACATTTACATTGTTACAAATTATTCAAATAAATGCTGTTTTTTTTTTACTTTATGTTAATCAAAGAATCATGAAAAAAAAATGTCATCAAAGTTTCCACAAAGATATTAAGCAGCACACCTGTTTTCAACATTGATAATAAGAAATGTTTCTTGGACGGACAGACAAACAGACTGTTGCAAATATATTATATTTTGATTTCTAGGGCCTAGTAAGTCACTGATTAGCTGGTTTAGGAGTGTTTAAATGGGGTTGAACTCTGCAGGACAATAGCCCTCCAGAACCGAGTTTGGAGACCCCTGCCTTAGACAGTCAAAATTATTTAGTAAACCCAAAAGTCTGCACACACTCCTCCCCACACACAAACCCATGCTCAGGAAAAAAGAGCCAATTATTTCCTACAAATTATTTAATTTACTGCATGGCTTCACTAATGTTTTTTTAGTCCTGCATTTTGGCATGTTTTGAAGGCCTCTGTTGACCCCTTGGTTTTAATGTATTTTTGCGGTCTTAAGCCCACTGACTTGTGCGTCAGTAAAGCACCAAAATACTTATATCAAAAACAAAATATGCTATTTTAAATACTGTATACAACATGCCACATACATAACTGCGTAGGAACCATCAGAAAGTGCTCAGGAACTCCATATAGATTGTCCATTACTTTATCTCAACGAAAGACACATGAACTTTTGATTGGATGGATGGCCTACCATCCCTCCAGATACTGAGTGGAATAAATGGGCAATCTAATTTATACTTTACTCTGCAGAGAGCAATAGAAGCTGCTTCTGCAGGCCATTTATAAGTTAACCTCTTTAAATTAAATGTTTAATTATTTAAAACGCCATGGGCGAGCTGCCTGAAAGTTTGAGAATCCTTCAGTACAGTTGTAATTCTCAATCATGATTTTAAATGGGATCTGCCAAACCAATACACAAGTACTGAAATAACAACATAATTTTTTTCTATATAGACGTTGCCCTTACAGGCTAATCCTCTATAACTGAGAAATTCAAAGGATTTGAGAAGAAACCAAAAGTGTTCTCTCAGACCAAATCAAATCTCTCTTAACAAGAGCAATACAACTAACACAGTTTAGCATCAAAACACGTTGAAAACTAAAAAAAACGATTCCGACTCCAGCACGGCCAGAGACCAGCCATCCACCACCATCGAACGACCCAACAGAAATGGTTTTAGAGCCCACCGCAGACAAGGGAGACCAGCCTGCCCCAATCGACAAGACTGATTCAACAGAGAGGACAGGAGAGGACATCGCCCCAGAGCCTGCGTCCCTTAGAGAGTCAGGTGCGTGAGCTGGAACCACCATCCGTCGCAGAGGGATTTATAGTGGAGTTTGAGGGTTTGGAGGATAGCCCTGTTTACACTCCTGCTGCTGTTTGTGAGTTAGATATAGCCTTTGGAAGCTATTTAGAGGAATGGAAGGACATTTTTCAGGAGGATTTAATTTACTGGTTTGGGGAGGTAATACCCAGTGTCCCTGTATCTCCAGTGACCCTTGTATCGTCTGAATGTCCGCCCAGCCTTCCTCTCCCACTTCCTCAAACAGATAGTTCCTCGGCCCCAACTCCGCTCTTATCTTTCAGCCCTCTGTGCCCATCGCTCCACCTTGGTCTATCGTCACATCGGGCTCCTCCTTCCCTTTGCTCCACCGGAAACCAACGGCCATTCTGCTTCACTGGGCTCCTACATCCCTCTGGCTCCATCTTGGTCCGGCGTCGACCTACCTGCGCCTTCGGCTCCGTCTGACTCAGTCCTACTCCCGGCTCTTCCTTCGTCCTCGGTCCCACTGGCTTCGCCTCTGTCCTCTGGTTCACTGGTTTCACCTCGGACGCTTGTCGCCGCGGCTCCACCTCCGTCTCCAGTACCATCGGTGTTGAGTGGGCTCATCGGCCTGTCATCCCGACCAGTGTCTCCAGCTTCGGCAGCTCCATCTCCTTCGGTCATCCCCAGGGTGCCTTTCATCAAGTCGTTACCATGGCTCCTCCTGCAGGAGAACAGGACCTAAATGTACCTTTTGCTGTCATCAAAAATGCAATGGTTAGTCTTTCACAGTTTCCCACTTAACAGGATAGGTGAACCCATTAATCTCTTATGTGAAAACTCAGCTTTAAACAAATTGTCTGACACTGTAAAACTTTCTCAGCACTGTTACATAATGAAAGACTGAAAGAGGATGAAACATTTAGTATGTTCTAGACATTATGCAAATTTGTATTGGTTTACTTCTCATCATTTATCTAAACAAGGACGGTAAAACCCAAACGCAGGCAAATGTACACAGTCAGTTCTTACTGTACAGCAACAAATAAATGAGTCTGTGAGGGGGACCAAGCAGTCAAGGGCACAGAATGCAGGATTTCCAAACTAAGAGAAAACTGAATGAAATAAAGTCAGGTCTGGGCCCATAAAAAGGGTCAACTGAACAGAACCAAACTTAACAGTAATCAAACCAACTAAGCAAACCAAACTAAACAAAAAAACATGACCTCCCAAATGACACACATGGGGAACTTATATACACAAAGGACTAGTCCATTACACATACACAGGGAATAACAAACTTTACTTAACACAATTAAAATAAATAAAGTCATTTCAGAAATATTAAGAAATGGGTCATAAACAAAGTAATATACCCAAAGAATTATAGTCAACAAAACATACATAAAATTATAACAAACATACAATTAATCCTGGTCTAATCAAGCGAAACGATCGCTCATTTAAAAAAGAAATAACAAAGTTTAAGTTTTATAAGCTCAAATGCTCGCCTTGCTCTGTTCTGTGTGACTCTCCTGTTCGAACTCGTTCATCAAAATGAACGAATCTTTTTCCGAGTCAATTCGTTCATTTCGTTCGTTAAATGAACGAATTGACTCGGAAAAAGATTTAAATTAATTAATTAAATAATTATATTTTATATACTGACAACAATAAGAAACATGAATAAATTAGTACAAGATCAAAAAAAAAAAAACATCACACAATAAACAAATGCATATACAATTCAACAACACATGAAACAAATCTTTATTCAAACTACAAGCATGTATTTACAGGCGCTGAACCCCACATCCTACTGCCATCTCAACACAGCGGTTCCCATTCTGCGGCTTTATTCTGATGAATTCACCAGAGGTGACCGTGCCTTCGTGCCGGAGCGTGTTGCTGCGCTGCGCTTCACAATCTGAGGCGATAAGGGCAGATGGAGAGATGGAGCGTCTCATCCATGGCACCGTTTCCAGGATTCAGCTCTGGGCTCCTCATCCTCAGTGCTCACACCAGTCTGAATAAAAACATGCTTAGTTACTTTATAGATTTGTTTATTTACCTTATTTACAGCACATTTGTCTAATGTCAACAGTGTTGACAACAGTGAATTAACGTTATCCTATAATAATGCCACACATACATCACTCAGATGTCTTTTTCATGTTGTGATGTGCTCATCTGCAATATGTCAATACTTACAATATTTTCCTTTCAGATGTAAATAGACATTTTAAATAAGCGTGTTTAAGATGTATATGGTTAAATCCACTTTAGAGACGTTACGTGTGCTTAGAGCTCCCCTGTTAGCTAGCTAAAACATGTTTTTACAGCAAAATCACAACTATACTATATATACTGTCTAACTACTTTACACCTTCAACAGTTAAAACGTTTACTCGATAGTAGTTTAACACATAAGGAACCGTGTTTACTCACATTTGAAAACCCCCGGCGTCGCTGATCTCCGTGATGTTTGATAATGACGTATGCTCTCGCGTGGCCTCCTGGGATAGAAGAGTATCCATCGGTTGAGCACTCAAAAATCGGGCCGGAAGCAGTAAGCCATCCGGGGCTGCGTTCCAGTCCACTTTTAGACACGCACTTGCGAACTTCCCTAAGCACTTCCCCTTCACAATTTCACAATCTATACCTTCAGTTATATACTAGTATATGAAACATATAAGTTAAAAGACATTAATGGTCGTTCAAATGACTTGTATAATAAAGTGATATCTGATTTGTAACCAGGCACTAAAGCGATTACCCATAAAATGTGCTTTGAACCAATCGGATTGCTTTAGTCCTAAGCTGGGAGTGGGACTCATCACTTCACCACACCGGTCCTTTATTGGAACAGACCTCCACCGGAGCGCAGCGTCCCAGACAGCGCCAAACCTCCACTCTTCCCACGTAAGCAATTAACTTAAACTCAAAAGAAATAAACTTTAACAATATACCAATAATAACTAGAAAGTGTGCACCCAAACTAGTAATTTATGGTAGAAAAATTTAAAATAAAACAGTGAAAATGAACCAAATCTGTGTCTGTCATTATTATGAAATATATATAGCGTGATCTGTAACCAAGGTATCTGCAACAAATGTTTAATCATGAAATACTAAAAATAACGTGTAAACATCCCAGAAAGAAGGACACATGTATGCATGTGTATTCTCAGTTACCGTCCTCTTGTGTGGCCACGTCATCAGCCATCACAGATACCCTTGACTTACAAGTTACAGCTGTGCAATGAAGGGGGATGAAACGGTACACTTTTTACATCTGATCCTTTGCCTGGGAATGATTCGTACCGTGAAGCAGCAACAGGCAGAGCGGCACCAACCTCACCTATAAGAAAGATTCACAGGACAGAAAGTGTTCAGAATGAGATCTCCAGGGATTCCCAAGTTCAACCGCTATATAAAGATGGGAGAGAAAACAAGCCTGTGAAGGACAGGAGATCCCTAGAGGGTTTATTTAATTTTACATTTCAGAGCTTTCTTGCTGGAAAGTACATTTCATCTACAAATGAGCCTGGACATATACGGAATAGGCTCAGCACAGCACTTCTCTACAGTGGGTCCATCAGCCCTTGTGAGAGTTACAGTGAGACAGAGTGCTCTGATGAGCAGTGCTCTAAGTAGTGAGCAAACCTTTCAGGCTGGGCTACAGCAAATTGGCCAGCTCCCCTGGGATGTGGAGAATAGGCTGAGAGGTGCCCACACAGGATGACTGGGAAACTCACAGACTGAAAGGAGCTGAAGAAACAGAAAATTTGACAAAAAAAGAAAGGAGAGAAAAAAGGAGTGGGAATTGCGTGGCTTTCACTAAGCAAGAGAGCTGTAAATCTGTAGCATCTCTGAATCAGGTATTGAAACACAATCTAATGGTAATTGGTAACTATTTAACATTTTGGTGAATTGATGGCTATTTTTATGAATTCATATTCAATCCCACTTGTATGATTTGTATGAGCTGCTTACGCCTTAGGGTTAGGTTTAGGGGTGAAGCTTCCTGCTAACCTTTTTTCTAAAAATATTAATATTAATGAAAGAAATTAAAATTAATTTAATAATAATTAGTTACATTTTTATAGTGATTTTCTCTGCACTCAAAGCACTTTACATAGAAGGGGGAATCTCCTCAACCACCACCAATGTGCAGCATACATCTGAATGATGCGACAGCAGCCATATTGCACCAGAACGCCCACCACACACCAGCTTATTGGTGGAGAGGAGACAGAGTGATAGCGCCAATCAGTATATGGTGATGATTAGGAGGCCATGATGGACAGAGGCCAATGGGCAAATGTGGCCTGGATGCCGGGGATGGAAGGACATCCTAGGATTTTTAATGACCACAGAGAGTCAGGACCTCAGTTTAATGTCTCATCCGAAAGACTGTGCTTTTTGACAGTATAGTGTCCCTGTCACTAATCCAGGAGCAAAACTATTTGATGAGAACCAATTGTATTAGTAATGTTTCTGACATACACTATCAAAATATTGTGTAGGTTTCTTTACTTAAATAATCGAATGGATATAAATTACAATATGTAACTTATTTAATGTCCCTGTAAAATGCCTTTTAACATTTTCTCAAATGCAGTGTTTTTGTGAACTGCTGGTAAAAATGAACCACTGCCTAAGCTGACTTTAGACATACATGCAAAGTGGATCTAAATCCATTATTCACAACTTTCCTAGAAACATTACATAAACATCACACCCCCTTCTGTCAAGGGATTATGAGACTGTGGGCATACAGCAAATTTTTCCAGCTGGTAGAATGTCCCTCCCTTGAATGTGCTCTGTTTTGTGGTACACCTGTTGAACTGCCTCACAAAAAACAACCCCATGATTATTCCCACTGTCAGTGACTGTTTCTCTCCAATATGACATGTGGTCATTAGTCCTTGTAAATGTATTAATTACCCTGATCCTGTAAGCATATGGTGGAATGTGGA